TATTGACGGGACTAGCATTAAAGAATTACTTTAATCCACAATTTTTGTAACGATTTATATTATTCTTTAACATATTTCTTACTTAAAAGCCTTTTGAGTTTAAAGCGTGAGTATTACATAAGTTTAATTTTTGGTTTATCTTTTATATTTTTATTTAATTTCACTAGAAAGTGAGGAGCGATAATGATCAAATTTGTGACATTTGTTGTCAAAAAAGCTCTTATACTATATAAAGAATTACTTCAACTTAAAATCTTAAAATATTAGGTGAGGACACTTTTATAATTTATATTATTCGGAAGGTTGAGGATGCACTTATTATACTTTTATATTAGGCTAAATAAATTTGGATTTAGTGTGTCATTTAAAAGGACACAACTTTTAGTGACTTACACAAAGTATGACCGGTCATACTTTGTGTAAATCTGAAAAAAAAATTACTTTACATATCAGCGATGTGACTTGGAAGAGAAAAAAAAAATAACTTTTCTGATTTACACAAAATATGACTTGTCATACTTTATATAAAGGGGAAAGTATTTCTCACCGAAGATAAAGTTATCTCTGGTAAGTTCAAAACGACGTCGTTTTGGGATAACTAGATTAAAAAATTATAATAATAAATATTAATATAACTCTGCAATATGTTTTAATTACAAAAATATTTTGATTTTTGTCTCAAAACGACATTATTTTGGACTCACCGAAAATAACTTATCCCCATTGAATAAAAAAATTATTTACCCGAATATAAATCATCTAAAACAACTCAAACTTATATTCTTTAAAATGATATTTCTTTTTCCCCATAAATTGAATGCATGTTTAAATTTTTTTCATTCATTCATGTCATCTGAAAATTAGACATGTGAGTATATCTCGCTAAACTAATTTAATTCGTCTGATTGGCTCGTTTAACCCATTATATATGAAGAGGTTGAGTTGGGACCTCATTAAAACTCTTTCTGCGTAAGTGCGTGTCAGAATGGATTAAATCCATCACGTGACAGTTGATCTGTCAGAATTTTTTTATTATAAAACATTAGTTGTTAATCTTTTTATAGCTCTTCGGTCTTGATTCTCAACCTTTTACTTTCTCTTGACAACATAAGTGTTTTCTGATTTTTTTTTCAATCATTTAACAATAGACTTAAATATTTTCACGGATTTTTAAAATTTGAGATTAGAGTTAATACTAATTATGAAAAACAAAATTGTTGATATGGATTATGCTGGAAACCAAACGTATTCTAAAATTTCACTATATAACTTGTTCTTCTATGTATATATCCTTTGCAGATAAAAAAAAAATAAAACATAAAATGGTTGAAAGCTTCAAATTAAGTTTTCTTTTAAATTTGAAAGAAGTTGAAAATGGTGCCAAGAAATAATCGTAGAAAGGCAAAGGAGAGAAGAATGAAGAGGAAGATAAAGGTGTTTGATCTGTGCATATAAGTGATCAACTATGTGGGAGATGATCACATGTGACGTATCTCTTGATGCAATTATGCAAGGATGTTGAGGCTTGAAGCAAAAGGTGATATATGTGCGAGTGCATTAATGAGATATTATGGTTTTAGAAGTACACATGTGGGGGTGCTTGATCTGAGTCTAGCATATAATCTTTTCTAACTTAAAAGAAGCAAGGAATTAATCATAAATGTGTGAAAATAGTCTTTAAATGCAAGAAATATTGATTATTTCTTCTCGATCATGTTCTTACTCAAGTTATATGTTTAAATATCAGAAAACGCCGCAAAAAGAAGCAAAATCAGAGAAACCAAATTTTCCGTTGGCGCACAACGCGCGGAGGTTGGCGCACGACGTGCGATACCGGAGCACGAGGCGCGGTACCTGGCGCACGAGGTGCCAAATCGTTGGGTAGCTTCTGTTTCGTCGGCGCACTAGGCGCGAGTATCGGCGCTCGGCGCGCCAAAACGGCGCACGGTGCGCGGGAGGCTGCGCCTGAGGCGCCAGTGTTCGATCCAGCTTCTGTTTCTCTCAAGTTTGGGGCGTCAGACGTGGCGCCCCGTTTGTAGGCGATATATTTTTAAGTGTGAATCGGCCAAAATAAAGCTCAATTGGAGTGCAAGTGAAAATAAGTTTTCCCAAAACCTAATAAAAGGATCATAAATAAAGGGAGGAAGAACTTTTTGATAATCAAGAAGAGAAAAACAACAAAGAGAGTGGAGATTCCTTGGAGCTTCTTGGAGATTCAAAGATTCGATCACGAAAGATCTTCATCTTCCCTTTCTCTTTTAGGTTTTAAATGCTACTTTATTTTATTGTTATTTTATCAGACATGAATATGTCTGGCTAGTTTTATCATTGTGGTAAGGGTCACAATCCTTGATGTGAACCCCTTGTACCTTGGTTGAAATTTACGTTTATCTATTTTAATTGAATTTATCTTTTCTTGCTCTTCATTCTATAATTCTATTGGAACTGATCAATCTTGTAGGATTACGAGGGTTAGGGTTTACAATAGGGATGTTGGAATTCTAAAATCCTGACAAAGAATAAGATAACTGCTCATGTACGCACTAGGGATAGGCTACATGAACCATGAACGTTAATTCTAAGGGTTAACTCGAAAAGGATTTTCTAAAGGATTAGGGTTTAACTACTCATATAAAAGATGATGAATTGTTCGATCAATTAAATAGGTAAATGTAAATGTAATCCAAGTTGCAAGGTGGGGATCGGAAAGGTGTTTGTTTCTCTTTACCACAATATTTTCTCAAATATTTTCTCCATCCTTAATCTTTTTTTCTTGCATTCTGAAAGCACTTTTGGAATCATTTACATTTTTCCTTTAATTGTTTTAGTTTATTTTATAAACCACAATTGCTCTCAACCTATTTTGATTAATCCAACAAGAGAGGAATAATTATAACAACTTAGGTGCCTCAATCCTCGTGAAGACGATACTATACTTACTCTTTATTACTTGGTACGATCGTTGCACTTGCCGATTTTACGCATCAGTGCTCTTATGCATTTATAGGGTACATTACCTCCGCGTTTGACTTGGTGTGATTATATTTTCCTTTGGGCTTTGAGCTTTTGATTAGTGAGGAAGGATTTGAAATATTTCTAGATCTGCAACCCACGTAGTTGGTTCGGATTTGGGTCGAGTAGGGATCCAATTGGCCTAAACAAAAGGTAACAAAATATTGTCAAATTTAATATATAGGCGGGTTCACACCCGATAAAATAGGGCAAATTGAAATTTTCAACCAGTGTTTTAAAATTCTGGTTCGAATCGATCGGGTCGACCCAAGTTTTGGTAATTGAATGCCTTCATAAAATCAGATCAGTTTCGATAATCGATTGACCGGGACCAAAATCGAGTTTAGTCGATTTTACGATAAATTGTGTAAAATATATACATTTTGCATGCAATGAAATTCGAACTTGAGTCTCTTAGTTTGAGGATAAGAAGGCTTACCACTAAACCACTTTTTTTTTTGTACATACCACTAAACCACTTTTATTTGTTGAACATAATGTTTATAATTTAATATTTATCATATATTATTTTGAAATTCGGTTGAACCCAATTGAACCTGATTAAACCACTGACCGAGTTGATGACCGGTCCGAATTTTAAAACACTATTTTCAACCTAGTTTTAGAAGTATGGCGAAACATGTTAGCTTGTTTTGGAATGAATTGGAGGTGGGACAAAGCCGATTGTCTATGTTTCAACCTCAAAATATGTCATTTATCATGCAAGTTGGCACGACATAATAACACATGATATGAATCATCTAGAAGAAGATTAACATGTAAGAATATTTGTACGAATCAATTTTTGTTTGCGGGTTGACATGCAACATAACATGAAATTTTTCGTATTAGTTTTGTCAATATGAATATGATACAAATTTGTATCGTGATTATGTCGTATATGCTAGTCATGTTGAAAATTGATATGGATGAGGTCCAATTACAATTTATTAATATAAATGGGAAGAAAAATAGACATAAAAATTTTAGGTGACCCTCCAAAATTTTAACATCTACTCCATGATTGGGATGCTCTCTTAAAATCAGTTTAATACTAAATTTACGATCTGTTTAAACTAGCTTCTTCTAATTTTTTTTTTTTTTTTTATAGTTTGAGATAATTTAATATAGGAAAAATATTTATTCTTTTAAAGGATGGTTATTTTAGTTAAAATTAATATTTTTTATTTAAATTTAAATTAAAAAAAATCTCTCACTTTCTCCCCCTACAATTTTCATTTTGCATTTTTTTCTCACTTAAAATGATATGTCTTTTAAAATAACAAATACTAATCCCTTTAATATATATTTATGTATGCATTTTTCTGAAAATTAACTTTTCAAACATACTCTTAGGAACCGTTTGTATAAGTTTTTTACCTCGAAAGCTGTTTTTTTTAAAGAAAAAAAGCACTTCTCACTCTAAGTTCGTTTAGATATCTGCTTTTAAAAAAAACAGAAGTCACAAAAAAAGTTAAAAATTTACTTTTTTAATAAGCTAAAAATTTTAGTTTCTAAAAAAAGCAGAAGTCAAAAGTTAAATATTTATAATTTTATAAAAATTAAATATTTTTATAAAATTATAAATAACTTTAACTTTTATAAAAAGTACTTTTAAAATAAAGAACAGATAAAAATTAATTTTTTTTATAAACCCAAACATGCTCTTGATCTCGATTAATACAAAAGCTAAGCTAGTGATACCCGTACCCCTACTTACTATATATGTAAAAAGAAAAAAGTCCTTTGATTTAAGAATTATTATTTCTAAGGATTCAAACACAAGTACCAATGCATCTCCATACAACCGGACAAAATTTAATTATGATAGTAGTACAAATTCATACTCACTTAATTGTCCCAAAAAAACTTGATATATAAAATAACATTAATTCCTAGATGGTCTGGTCAGTATCCAAGGATACCAACAGTAACACTTTGCAAACAAAGACTTGTTTTCAGTCTAGTGAGTACAGAGAGTGAGACTTATGGCCAGAGTCCCACCGCCACCACTACTACTACTAACCCTTCTCTTCTTTGCAAGAATTTCAGGGCTTGGAGTAGCAGTGCTTGTTCTCTTTTGGGCTGTTTCCTTCAAGTCTAGCTTTCTCCCTCCCTCTCTTTCCCAACAAGACCTCATCTATGCAGTATATATATGCTCTCTTCTTTCTGCATTCCTTTCTACATTAACAGATAAAACCTACCTTTTCAATTAGCTCAAGCAACTTCCTTTTTCTTCTATGTTTTTGCTGCAGGTTCTTCATCCCTTGTTTATGGTTATTGGGTTTATTCTGTTAAGTGGAGAAGGTAGCTAAGCTTCTTCTTCTTCTGATGATGATTATTATTATTATTATTATTATTTTAAAGCTGAAAAAAATGTAGCTTTCCTATTCCTAGTTTGGATAGATTAAAAGGCATATATGACATTAATTGCAATTAAATGAGTTTTTTTCTTTTTTTTTTTTTATTATTATTATTACAGCAATTTTGGTGCATAGATGGTTACCTGGGTCAAGGGGCTTGAAGAAATCAGTACACTTGTGCCTTCAAGGGGTGGCTCTAGCTTCTGGGATATTTGGGATTTGGACAAAATTCCAGGGAAAGGATGGGATTGTGGCAAATTTCTATAGCCTACATTCATGGATGGGTTTGATTTGTATATTCCTATTTGGAGTTCAGGTACTTCCTCATCTTGCCTAATTTCTTAGTTTTCTTTTCTTTTTTTCTAAAATAATTTTGGTATGCTCTTTTTTAATTATTATCCAATTATGTCTTAATAGCTCTTATTCAACTGGATAAATTATAAAGAATGAAAAATCAAACTCTTTTTGTATCAATTTTTGGGTTTTGAGTTGATGAAATAGTTTTAGCATTTTTTTTTTAAATGTTTTAGCATTTTTTTCGGGGATAAGATATTGTGACACCCAAGTTATGTTACACCTATGTGACACCCAGTCAATCTCACCGTTAGATCGCTTATGTTGATCCAACGGTTATATTTATTTCCATCTTTGTATGGTCATGATTTCCCAAATTTAAAGTGAAATCATTAAATATGAGAAATCATAACCATACAAAGGTAGAAATAAATATAAAATATTAAATTTGAGAAATCATGACCATACAAAGATGGAAATAAATATAACCGTTGGATCAACATAAACGATCTAACGATGAGATTGACTGAGTATCACATGGGTGTAACATAACTTGGGTGTCACAATATCCTATCCCTTCTTTTCGTAGTAATTTAATAATATCATTATGTCTTGCGCACTATATACGTGCTGGATAATGGATGAATGATGATGCTGTTGTGGACTTGTGGTCCTCCTCTCTTTTTTAAGAAAGAAAAAAGAAAAAAACGACATAATGCAATAATCTTGTTAAACTTTTTATGCTTCTTTTTAAGTGCATAGTTCAGGTTTTTGTTATAATTTTTTTTTTAAAAAAATTATAATTTTAAATGTAAACACGAAATCTTAACTTTATTCTGCATTTTGAATTGAGTACTTTTTTTTTATAAAATGTAATTACTTTAAATAATAATAATTATATTAGTTGATAAATGATTTTTTTTACTACTAATTCTTATTTTATTTTTTATTTTTGTTATCTGAATCCTGAACTAGTACTTACTTATTATAATATTATTATTTATAATAATTTAAAATAATAAATAATCGTTCATTTTTATTTGGTGTACGTGCCAGCAACATATACTAATATTTATTATGGAAAAATATTTTTATTTTTATTGCAGAAAATATTTCTCTGTATATAAAAGTAAATGAGTCTTATCAAAAAGAAAAAAGAGAAAAAAAATATTAGTAGAACTTACTTACTTTGTGTGTAAATGTGGTAAATAAATATTTTTTACAGTAAAAATAAAAATATTAAACTCTATTTATAAACTTAGTGACAAAGGTACGTCTTTGTTTTTCAAAATATATTTAATTAAAAAATATAAAAAGTTAAGATAATTATAAGCAGTGGCGGAGTCGGGTTCAAATTTGAGTTTGAGCCAAAAATATTTATGTGTATTTATTTTTCTTAATTTTAGTTAGTTTATATCTTAATATATTTAAAGGGAAATAGTTGTCTTACGTCACACAAGACAACTATCTTATGTTGCTCACTCATGAATTTTTGTGCCCATTTTTTTTAAAATTATGGGCTCACAACTTTGTTTCATCCACATCAGATAACTATTTCATTTGATATAAGATTAATAACTCCCATATTTAAATTGGGGAAAAATCCTTTTGTAAATTTTTTTCTGCAAATTATATTATATACTCCCAGAAGTACATAGTGTTACTTAGTGTACTTTCGGGAGGTACATAGTGTAGTTTGTAAGAGTTTATAAACAAAAATTTGTAAACATAACTCTTCATATTAGAATTATATTAAATATAGAGCACCTAAGTAGACAGTACCAAGAAGAATTATAATTTTATTGAATATTTTTTTCATACAAGTGGAAATTGAAAACATAACCTAATACAACTTACCCAAATCTCTTATCAAAAATATTTTAAGTTTGAAATAGGAACAAAATACAAATTGTAGCCCGAGCCAAATTATGATTTTAATTCGGAGCAAATTATAATTAATTATATAATTAGTTTGTTAAAATTTAGTCCACGCTGAGGCCACACCTAAGATGTACTCGGCTCCGCCACTGATTATAAAACGTTTTCGAAATAAAATTAAAGCTCGTAAAATAAAAAAAATTCAGTATTTTTATATGAATCAAAAAGAGTAATTTTTTTTAAAAAATATATATTTCACCCTTAAAATGCTTTTTAAAAGTAACGCAGCTCAAAAAGAGTTGCAATTTATAAGAAGAGTGCACGGAATTACAGACGCACTTGGTTTTCGAAATATGTGGGCCAACGCTGTCGAGCAATTATGAGTTGCAAGTTATTGCATTCCCCAACTGGGCTGAACAAAATAATGCTTATTACTTTCATTTTTTCCTCTTTTATTTGTGACCCATATGCAGTGGTTGATAGGCTTCCTTAACTTTTGGCACAGAGGAGAGGTGCGAGCGGCGAGGATAAGGATCTTACCTTGGCATGTATTTCTTGGCCTATACACTTATGCATTGGCAGTAGCAACAGCAGAAACTGGATTGCTAGAGAAGTTGACACTCTTACAAACAAAGAGAAATGTGTCCAAACTCTACGCCGAGTCCATAGTGGTTAATAGCTTAGGTTTGGGTCTTGCCCTCCTTAGTGGCTTTGTTATTTTGGCTGCTGTTTCACCTAAGCATCAAACCCTTCAAAGCAAACTTTTGTACTCAGATACCAGGTGTTTGTCATCTTAATCAAAAGCATTATTACACTGGCTGATGCTTCACTATAGTAAGTAAAACTTGCAGTAAAGAATTAATTCAAATCAAAAATTTAATCTGTTAGTGGAAAGTTACATCAATAGTTTTATATAATAGACTTGAAAGATGAATAATGCACAATTTCATGTATCTTGTTAAACTTATAAACACTTAATGATAAGAACTCACGATAATTTTATTATATTATTCATAATAAATTTTACAATACTTTTTTCCTTGTTGAGTTCGGGATAAATAGAATGGTGTTAATGCACAAGGCATGTAGTAAATCAACTATCTCTTCAATTAACAAAATCAATAAACAATCCCTATAATATTAACCAGAACGTAAAAACAAGGGAAAATATTTCTTCTCTCACAAAGGAAATAACGTTATGTGTTGTAATCTCAAAATGAAAAAATACACGGGTTTCATAAAATTTGGTTCTCTCTATTTATTTTTCCTCTAAATCTAAAAATAATAACAAGGAATTATGCGTCTTATATAAACAAAACACATTTTAATATGTAATCTAAGGAAAAAAAATATTTATCATTTTGAAGGATATAATTTTATGTAAATTTTAAATAAAATGATCATATTTTATTATATATATTTTGGTCCTTTATATTTTTTTTCCTCCATAAAATCAGAAAGAAATGGAAAGAAAAAATATTGTGAAAAAGATAATAAACTTCATCATTTTATTTAAAATAATTCAAAGTTGTATCCTTAAAAAATACTAATTTTTTTACCACCATTCTAAGGGACATTGACTGTACTGACCTTTTTTGAATATAATATACTTGAATGCTATGGAGTCGAAATTTTTTTTTAAACTGCCACGGTACCATAGTCGTTGAGGTAGTCAGCTACTATGAATGAGACACGTGTCACTTTCCCAGCGACTGAAAACCAAAGTAGCTGATTAACTCAGCGACTTTGGATTGTATGTTTAGCAGGAGAAATGACACGTGTCCTGCCCATAGTAGCTGATCATCTCAATAAATATGATACCATCACAGTTTGAAAAAAAAATTCAAGTCTGTGTAATATTGAGATATATTATATTCAAAAAGAGCACAGTATAATCAATGTTTACATTCTAATTGTTTAATAATTGTTAAATAAAATAAAGTATTGTTTACCGAAATAAAATAAAATGGAGTATTTAGCCTGCAGAGATTTTGTAAGAAGAAAGATACCCTTTTATTTTATCCTTATTATAGGGTTAGCACTTAGCAGTGCTGGCATAGTGAGTAGTTGTACTGGTGCTACTGCATTCGGCATCCATCGATCATTTCACCCAAACCAACTCTGCAAACAACATTCTAGAAATCGGCGTAGATTGCAGCATCCGATTGTGAAGAGAATGTGGTCTTCTTCTACTTCCTCCTCTTCCTTCTTCCTCAACACACCTTCTCTTTCACCTCGCTTCAACTTCAGCCATACTCCAACCTCTTTCTTCATTCCTCGCCCCCATCTCTCCGCTTCCCTCTCCCACACCTCCTGGGCCCACAATCCCTCCGATGATTTCGGCGGTTGGGCCCTTCTCGACTCTCCGGCCCGGCCCACTACCACCAACAAAGGTACCTTTATGTTTCTTTCCAAAACCCCAATTTCTAGGGGGTTTTCAAATCACGTGTTGCTTTCACAGATGCGGATTTTATGAAACGTGAACTTTGTGTGCAGCATTTCCTTCGTTTGTTGTAGTGAGCGTTGGTACTTCGCTGGCTCTTCTCGCCGCTCTCTTTGCTAGCTTCTCCCTATCAAGGAATGGTTTGTATTCTTCTTTTCTATGTTTTAATTTTAATTTTTAACCGAATCTGTAATTAAGAGTGTTCTTCTTCTTCTTCTTCTTCTTCTTCTTCTTTTTGGTGTGAATCTAATGCGCATTTAGGTTTTAAGATTCAATTCACAAGTCCATTGCAAGGAATATGGAACCCTATTAAAACTCATGATGATCAAGACAGGGCTGGTGCAGAGTTTGACGCTTCTAATGGGAGCAAGTCGACGTACGAAGCCATACCTTTTTCAATTACAACGGAAACTGTTACATCTGGTAAGTGCGGTGTGCCTGTTAGTGTTGCATTCATTGTGATTATATTCCTCTTTAAGCATTGGTCTCGAATAGTGTTTTGCTATCTCGTTTTATTCATTTGTTTTTTAAATGAAATGTGATGTGATTATGATCTACGAAGCACCTACACTTCAAAATCTCTGACATGTTGTGTCCGACACTTCCCGACTCTCACCGACATTCCGACACTTCCCGACACTCCAATACTTGTTGCAAAGACTCAAAAAAGGTTCAAAGGTTACATTGCGTTGCATTTTGAGTTCTAACTATTAGATTCGTTGGATTACGATTACTATTTTATTGACTTTAATATAAACATTTGTGATATCTTATGTTTCTTTGCAAAATTGATGGGTATTATAAGTTTTGCTATATTTTTTTGTTAAATTATTGAATACTAAATATAATATCAAAACTAGTCCTAACGTGTCAAAATTTAACATTTTTTAGAATTAACGTGTCGGAGTGTCGTGTCGTATATTAACGTGTCGGAGTGTCGTGTCGTATCTGTGTCCCGTGTTGGTGTCGGTGCAACATAGATTATGATTGGTCCATAACTTGAGATATTTGTCGTTGTTTTCATAGTTTGGTATTTTGTGTTTGAGCATAAGCTTGAGTATCTACTGTCTGCCCTGTTGTGTTTATGATGTCACCTGTGATGGTTTCTTGAAATGTTCTCAGCTTTTTACTCTTCTTGTCTTATCAACAGCTATAGAAAAGCCGGAACATGTTACAATCCCAGTTTCTGTGGATTCTACACAAGAAGAAGCATTGTCGGTCTTGAAGACACTGAAGGTTTGTTTCTAGAAGCATCGTTTTTATGAATCAGACAGACTAATAGTATCCACCTACATTGTGTTATTGGTCTGTAGTTCTGTACAACTGCATGATTGCTCTCTCTTTTTATTTTTGTATTCTTTGAACCACTATTAATGGGAAACCTGGAAGTGTTATGGTTCAGTTATGTCTTCAAAACCATCTTAGCCAGGAATAGTTCCAAATCCTTGTATAAATAATAATCTCACAAATATTATCAGATGGTTTTTTGGTTGGTATACAATTATTATTATATTTTGTTCTACTCTTGATCGATTAAAAATGTGTTTTTGAATATTTAGATTATTTCTTTGACATTTAAAGCTTAGATTTCTACCTTATTTGTTCAATATGCTGGCAGTTTGTAAACACTCCTCCATGCACTTATTATGAGTTTGGTTATGCTGCTTAAATTTTTAGTCGATGTATAATAAAGATAAAGCATGCAAGAACTGAGGGAAAGAGCCAGAGAAGTGTTTATGTTGATAGTATATGCTTGGATAATATAGTTTTAGTTATAACTGATAATGTTAAAATTTGATTTAGTTTTCTGGATTTAGTGTTGCATTTATGCTATGGTGTACTTAAATTTGTGCTGCTTATGTGGAATATGCTCTTGTATTTTATTGTCTTGCATTTGTGTGTTCCATTATGCAGCACTGAAACTATGCTAAATTTTGGACCCTTGGGTAGAGTTGTAGGCTTGAACATTGTGGTTGTTGTTGATTTGTCTAGATAATTGAAGATAACGCGGAAGCTACTGAATTGTGTACCAGAAGAGAATTTGCTAGATGGCTAGTTAAATTAAATTCTTCTTTGGAAAGGTTAGTTCCAGATGCAAAATGCATGTAACTTTGCAGTCAGTAAATGATTTAGAGCTAAAACATATAGCTTTGCCTGGCTTCTATTAAAAATGGATTTCCTTGTCTTCTAGGAGTCCTAAACACAGGATTGCTCCAATAGTATCACTTTCTGGATCTTTAGTTACTGCATTTGATGATATCATTGTTGAAGACCCAGATTTTAGATCCATTCAAGGTAAAAAGATGGAACTTTACTCCAACCCAAAAATATTGTTTCCTACATCCAGAAATTTGAATGTTTTCTTCTCAATTTGAGGTTAAAGTCTTAGCAGAAGCTGGTGTAATCCCCAGCAAATTATGTTGGAAGAATAGTTCCAATTACGATGGATCTGATGGTCAAGAAAACATAAATTTTTTTCCTGATAGGTAAATTTGTATTCCCCTTCCCTCTTTTACATTTCACTTTCACAATCAAATTTCATTTTACTAAATTGAAGATATATGAACTGTAGATTCATCTCACGACAAGATCTAATGGACTGGAGAGCTCAGCTGGAGTATGAATTTTTCTCTGGAGTAATTGATCAGGTAAGCTGTTTTAAGAAGATAAGTATATGGATAGTTTTGAATATGCATGTTGAAAAACTTCACTTTTCTGTCAGCTCTTAAAACCTGACTTTTTTACAGTCCAGATATCAATTAAAAAGGCGGGTTATATGGATGTGAAAGAGATCACTTCTCCAGCAGTTTATGTGGACATGCTGGCAGGGGATAGGAGTATACTCAGAAAAGTTTTTGGTATCACTTCTCAGGCTTTTCCTCTATGCGTAGATGTTTATTTTGTTTTCTGTCACTGACATTGACAAACTTGTCAAGTATATCAAATTTTGTTACGCTGTTCTAACTGCAAGTATGTTTGTATATCTATATCTTTGTTGTTTCCAATAGTTGTAAAACTTTTTAAAGTTGAAACCCATCATAGACAGTTAGAAATTATTCATTTCATTAAATGTTTATAGTAAGCTCAAATTCCAGTTTAGGTTATCGTAGTATTTTGTCTCGCAATAGCAATGAATGAATAATAGGGTTATTAGGTGTAGGTTGTAGATGTCATATGTAGAAGAGTGTAGAACAATCGAAACATAACCAAATGAGAGAAACAACTCATGAAGAATTTTCAGTACCCATTTTATGCTTACTCCGTGATAAGTAGGTTGAATTAATGAATGAATAGTGAGGCTTGTTACATTTTATCTTTAAGGTGAGGATTATTGCCGTGTATCTAGGAATGCCCCAATGAAGAATGACCATATGAGGAATGTGTTGTGATCTTTCTGGTACAGGACAGAGCAAACGATTTCAGCCCAACAAACCTTCAACAAAAGCACAAGCAGCAGTGGCTCTGACAAGTGGCAGAATGAAGGAAGCAATATCTGCTGAATTGTCAAGAGTAGAAGCTGAGAATTCTGCCAGGGAAGCCGAGGCAGAAGAGATCAGGTCTGAGTTGCTTAGCCAAGGAGACATAGAGAGGTTTTGGGATGAGAAGCTGAGGGAAGAGAAAAGTCATGGTTTTGATGTACAGAGGATTTATCTCAATGCAGTAAGCAAGTTGGAAGAAGAGAAGATCAATCAAGATAAGATATATGCTAAGTATTTAAAAGAAAAGGCAGCAATGGATTGTCAGAAGCAGCTTCTGCTTAGTTTAAAGAAAGAAGTTGATGAGATATCAGAAAAGCTTGCATCAGAGAGAGTCATATTTGTAGATGAAAAGTATATTGTACAGAAGTTGCTCAGAGATCTGGAGTCCAAGCACGAAGAAATGCTTGACACCAAATCCACACTGGAAGCTGAGAAAGAAGCTCTTCAGATTCTTAGGTAATTTATGACTTACACTTCCTCATCCCCCTCTTGGCATATTTACTCTAATTATCTTTTATGCTCCTTGATTTAGTGTCAAGTCAGGTATCTATTTGGTTACTTATTTGATTTATGGCTTTCCAAATTACAATTTCAAAACTATTAGACTAGTAAAACCTAAGGAGGGGAGGTTTTGGGTGTTGGTAGTTTGGTGTTCAAACACATTAGTATGGAGGCTAAATGATTATGGTTCTCTCTTCCAAAGGTCAATGCACTACGGCACCAAGTAGTTTGAACTTTGAAGTTAGTAAGGTGTATTTGTAGAACCGAAATGGTGGGATGCCAAAAACTAGCAATTGCTGCTACTCATGTGAGTCTTTGGAAATTTATTTCACGAGTATTAGCATAACAGCTCAGCTAGCGGTTGTATCATCTGTAATGTACACACACTGCACTTGATCCCTCTCCCCATGCAGTTAGAGTTTGTTAGTCAAGTTTGTTAGTCAGTAGAGTTAGTTACTTGCTGAGTCATCTCTTGAACTCTATAAATAATCTTCTGTAACACAGTTTACAAGAATGATAGAATCTCTCCTTCTCAAATGAACTCTCCCTTCTCTCTTTCGTCCCGCTGCTCAAGTTCTTTTATGGTATCAGAGCCTTCTCCTTGAAGGCCTGATCCATATAGAACCTCATCATGTCTTCCGCAACTCATACTGAATCACCACAAACAAATCAGAAATCGCCTTCAGAAGCAAGCCAAAACACAAATATGGAGAATCGTGCAACAGAGATCAAAGCTCCACAATTATTCAATCAGCAGATCACAGTGAAGTTAACAGAGGAGAATTATCTTTTCTGGAATCAAATTGTAGAACCGATTATCACCTCTCATCAAATGCATCGCTTCCTGGTAAATCCTAAAATACCTCTTCAGTTTCTGTCAGAAGAAGATCTGATGAATGGAATCCAGAATCCAGCATATGTAGATTGGATAACTCAAGATTCGATGCTCCTCTCTTGGCTTCTGTCAACAATTTCTGAATCAGTGGTTAATGAAATTCTTGGTGTGAAGTATTCATACGAAGCATGGAGCAAGATTCACAGGCTCTTTCAAGGTATGATGAAGTCAAAAGCGAGGTTACTTCGGTCAGAACTTCATTCAATCAAAAAAGGCTCAAAGACGGTGAAGGAGTTCCTGTCACGTATTAAAGGTATTTGTGACTCACTTAAGGCTATAGGAAATCCAGTAAGTGATGAGGAACGAACTGATATTATCCTTGGAGGATTACCAGGCGAGTATGTAGCTTTTATTGCAACTGTTAATGGTAGAGAGAATCCGTATACTATCGAAGATCTAGGAATACAACTTCTAACACATGAACAAATCCTTGCAAAGCAAACTGAGTCACTGATCACAGAGAATGCAACTGTCAATCTCACACTTCAGAACCACACAGCAGAAAAACAGAATGACACAGATAAAAACAGAACCAGTGACACCTCATTTGCTCCTACTGCACGTAATCAGGATCAAATCACAGGTTACAATATATCCAATGCCAGTTATGGAGGTCGTTTCTATAGTCCTAGCAGAGGAAGAGGACGTTATGGAGGTCGTTTTAACCGAGGAAGAGGACGTGGAGAGCGTACCAATGTTCAATGCCAATTATGTTATAAGTTTGGTCATGATGTACATTCATGTTGGCACCGGTTTGATGAGAACTTCACACCTATTGCTCCTTCAAACAACACTGCTCAGTATTTTTCACCACAGTACTCTCAATATCCGAACAGTCAATCTCAACAGAATCGTGTATTTCATTACACTCGCGGCCAGAATAATCAACCTCATGCCATGATTGCTGCTCAACCTGGAATTTTGCCTACACCAACGACTGTTCCAGCACTTGATTGGTATCCAGATTCTGGTGCAACACACCATGTGACCTCCAATCCTCTCAACCTCATCCAAAGTCAGCAACTCAATGGTTCAGACCAAATCATGATTGGGAATGGTCAAGGTTTGGCAGTAACAGCTGTTGGTTCATCACTAGTTCCCTCTCCTTTTCACACTAACACACATTTACAGCTTAAAAATCTGTTAGTTGTGCCTTCGATCATGAAAAACCTTGTCAGTGTAAGTAAATTTGCACAAGACAATTCTGTGTACTTTGAATTTCACCCTACCTTTTGTCTTGTCAAATCTCAGGAATCTCATCAAGTCTTACTTGAAGGACAAGTTGATTCAAGTGGACTCTACAAATTTAATGACTTTCATCTTCATCAAGACCTCACTCGTGCCTCACAAATTGGTTCCAGTCATTCATTCAGTTCTCAAGTTTCATCAAATCCTGCAATCTCATTTTGCAATACAATTTCTGCAACTACTGCATTACCTGATTGTAATAATGTACACACAAATACTCCTCAGTCTCCTGAGATAGGTAGTTCCATGTTGTCAATGTGGCATTGTCGCCTTGGTCATCCACATAAGGATGCACTAAAGTCTGTACTCCATACATGCAATATACCTATTGTTAATAATAAAGCTCTTGAGTATTTCTGTTCTGCATGCTGTATTGGGAAAGCCCATCGATTACCTTCTTCACCTTCTACCACTGTGTATCATCAACCGTTTGAACTCATATACAGTGATTTGTGGGGACCTGCCCCGGTTAAGTCTATGATGGGGTATCTTTATTACATATCATTTGTTGATGCACATACAAGGTTCACATGGATATACCCCTTAAAATCAAAATCAGAAGCTCTACCTACCTTTCAAAATTTTCATTCTCTCATCAAAACACAGTTTAATATGCCAATAAAGTCCATCCAAACAGATTGGGGTGGGGAATTTCGATCATTTAAACAGTTCCTTCTCATACATGGTATCAACCATAGGGTAGCATGTCCTCACACTCACCATCAAAATGGTGTAGTTGAGAGAAAGCATCGCCACATTGTTGAAACAGGATTGACCATGCTGTCTCATGCATCTCTCCCATTAAAATATTGGGACTATGCCTTTATTTCTGCCGTGTACTTGATCAATCGGTTGCCCACTGCTGCCTTAGACTTTGCTGTTCCTTTCACTCAACTATATCACACTGCACCTGATTACAAATTCCTTAAGGTGTTTGGCTGTGCCTGTTTTCCCTTTCTTCGACCTTTTAACAAGCACAAATTAGATTTTCGCTCCCAAGAGTGTTTGTTTCTTGGCTATGCTACAAATCATAAAGGATACCTATGTCAAGGGGCTGATGGTCGTGTATACATTTCCAAGGATGTTTTGTTTCATGAGAATAAGTTTCCTTTTCCCTTATGGCACATCAGCACCAGCCCTCAACCTTCTTCCACTCCTCCCTCATTTCCACTTTCTGTCTTGCCTCGATACAATATGCATCATTCATCATCAGCTGCCACTACTACTAGCTCATCCCTTGAATCGAAGCAGCTTTCCACTCCTCCTGCTACTTCATCTTCGCAGGTTCCTGAGTCTCCTCCCATTGAGTGTCATATTGATTCTTCTGCAGTTTCCCCCTCTACTCCTGTCATGACTATTGTACCTTTTGTCTCCGCAGCAAATCAATCCACTGCTGTCACTTCTGTGTCTCCTTCCTTCTCCTCTGTTACACCACTTCCTCCTTCCTCCTCTGACTATCAACCTTCAGTCTCAGTTAGTTCTCCTCCTTCTTCCCACTCTATAATTACCAGGTCCAAAGCCTTAGCTCGGTCTCTTGTTTTACTCACCCACATGGAACCTTATTCTGTTAAACAAGCCTTGACTAGTCCCCAATGGCTTGATGCCATGCAAACAGAATTTCGTGCACTTCAGGCTAACAACATCTGGTCTCTTGTTCCCCTTCCTTCTCACAGGAAAGCCATTGGTTGCAAATGGATCTTCAAAGTTAAAGAGAATTCTGATGGCACTATAAACAGGTACAAAGCTCGTCTTGTTGCAAAGGGATTTCACCAACAAGAGGGCTTCGACTATACAGAAACGTTTTCTCCTGTGGTTCGTCCTGTGACAATTCGCATCATGCTCACCTTGGCCCTTACCTATGGTTGGCAGTTGAGGCAATTGGATGTCAACAATGCATTTCTTAATGGTGACTTAGTCGAAGATGTATACATGACTCAACCACCAGGTTTTGAGGTTACTGACAGGTCCTTGGTGTGCAAACTCCACAAGGCTTTATATGGTCTCAAACAAGCCCCAAGAGCTTGGTTTGACAAGCTAAAAACTGCTCTCACTCATCTTGGCTTTCACAGTAGTAGGTGTGATCCTTCTCTGTTTACTCTTCATCGTGGTCACACCTCCACTTATGTGCTTGTATATGTGGATGATATCATAGTTACAGGGAATGATGCTGCCTTTATTAATCGTTTGGTTTCTGACTTGAATGACAATTTTGCTCTCAAAGATCTTGGACCCTTGTCTTATTTTTTGGGGATTGAAGTCAAGAAGCATCCCACAGGTTCCATTTCTCTCTCACAGTCCAAATACATCAGAGAACTCTTAGCTCGTGCTCACATGTCAGATGCCAAAAGCATGCCTTCTCCCATGAGCACCAGTTGCAAGTTAACAAAACATGGCTCAACCTATTATGACAATCCGTTTCAGTACAGGTCCATCGTTGGTGCCTTACAGTATGCCACGATCACACGTCCAGAGATTAGTTTTGCTGTAAATAAGGTGTGCCAATTTATGTCTCAACCTTTGGTTGATCATTGGAGTGCGGTTAAACGGATATTGAGATATCTTCAAGGCACCATCTCCTATGGTCTTCTACTGCAACCAGCCTCTTCACCATTGCGTTTACCTCTTGTAGCGTTTTGTGATGCTGATTGGGCAAGTGACCCTGATGATAGGTGCTCAACTTCGGGAGCATGCCTCTTTCTTGGTCCAAATCTCATCTCATGGTGGTCTAAGAAGCAACACTTGGTTGCCAGGTCTACTACCGAAGCTGAGTATCGCAGCTTGGCTCTTGCTTCCTCTGAAATATTATGGGTTCAATCACTTCTCCAGGAGCTTCATGTTCCCATCACAGTTCCTCACATCTATTGTGACAATCTTAGCACCGTGGCGTTAACTCATAATCCCATTTTGCATTCAAGAACTAAGCATATGGAGTTGGACATCTTCTTTGTTCGTGAACGTGTATTGTCTAAGTCACTTCATGTTTCTCATGTACCAGCTTCTGCTCAACTTGCTGACACTCTCACCAAGCCTCTTCCAGCTCCTCGGTTTACTGAATTACGTGACAAACTCAGTGTTCAGGATACACTTCAACTCCCTCACAGCTGAGTTTGAGGGGGGCTATTAGCATAACAGCTCAGCTAGCGGTTGTATCATCTGTAATGTACACACACTGCACTTGATCCCTCTCCCCATGCAGTTAGAGTTTGTTAGTCAAGTTTGTTAGTCAGTAGAGTTAGTTACTTGCTGAGTCATCTCTTGAACTCTATAAATAATCTTCTGTGACACAGTTTACAAGAATGATAGAATCTCTCCTTCTCAAATGAACTCTCCCTTCTCTCTTTCGTCCCGCTGCTCAAGTTCTTTTAACGAGGATATGTTTCTGTCGGACAACTCATTTTTTGAGATTGGTTGATGGTTCTGTAGTCAGATTTTGGGTGACTGCTCCTCTTTTACAGGCTTTTTCTCCATCTATAACCTCTCTAAATTGTATAATCAGTGTTTTAAGACCATATCTTATCTCGGGAATTCCACTTTTGTAGAAACTTGTCTGCTACATGGGTCAATTGATGCCATTGGGTTCTGTCAAAAGCCAAATTTTCAATAAAACTATTTACATGATGTGCTTTTTAATTTTTTCTCCGAAAGTATCTTTGGTTCTTCTTGTGCTTTTGAGTTTTTTGCTTTTGGGGCAAGCATGTTCCAGGTTAGTAGTATTTCTTTTACTTTTGTAGTTACCTCTTGTTTTTGGATGCATTATGCATAACCAAGCATGAAAGTTGTGGAGTGATGCTGGTGCGAAAATTTTGAAGGACATTAGTTAGGTTTCTTCTGGCAATAAAATTGTAGTTATCATTTCTAAATGGTACTTGGTTGATCCTGTTAGAAATTGTGATTGTATTTTGAGTTGGGTGTGAGTATCATGAAGAGTGCAAATGTTGCAGATCGTGGGTGGAGGACGAGGCAAGAAGAAGCCAAGCTCGGGCAGCCGTTCTTGAAGAGGTAGGGCGAAGGTGGAAATGGGATGATCAATCTTGAATGAGGGGCACGTCCTATAAATGTAAAGTACTATATTTTAGTTACTAAAAAACAGAAATTCTTTAGGCTATCATGCTGTGTTTGGTATGGTCTTTTGGAGGAGAAAGGAAAGGATTGAGGCAGATAATGAGCCTCATTCGTCGTTTGGCATACAAATTCAAAGGGGTGAGTTGAGTGGGGGTGAGTTTCCGTAGGCCCCATAGATTTTCCATCCCTCTCTTGTGGGATGGATTAGGAGGGAGGGAAGAGGGCTTGCAGCAAATTTCGTCTTTATCTTTTCGAAGTTGTACGTTGTTCCTGTTTAACTATCTTAAGTTTTGGAAGCTTTAAGAAATTCCCTTTTAGATAAAATGTCATACTAGCTTATCACTGGTGACAGATTCCGCTTTGTAAGTGGAATAATTCCAAACGCTGGATAACATTGTGAAGCCTAGTTGGCTTATCCCTTTTCAGGAAAGCCTAGTTCTATAGAGTCTTGCATTTTTTTTTTTTTTTTGGTAAGCAGTCTTGGTTTTTTTTTGCCCCCCCCCCCCCCCCCCCACAATAGTTACATTGTGATCAATAAGATGAAGTTTAATCTGTTCTCTGTTTTTCTTAATGCTTTCACCAGGTAGAAATAAATTGTATACAAACTTAATTTTATCAACATCAACTTCACCTTTATCCCAAACAAACAAACAAAATTTATATTTACATAAATTATATTGTTTGATTTTAGTTGGGTTTAGTCGATTGTTGTATGTCTACATTATAATTTTGCGACTTATGATGTGAGGAAATGCGTGCCGCATTTGATGTGAGTGGTTGTGTGCTTTGATAACGTGTAAGAATAGTAGTCCTCAAATAACACTGTAGCCTGTGATGATTTTATTGATTAATGATATCCTTTAGCAAGTTTAGAAACGCTTAATTATACCACAAAAAAAAATAAAAATTTGTTTTTAAAGTTCTTTCATAAAGCTGTCAAATGCTTTTTTAGTTCTAAAATAATTTAATCCAAACAGACATTTTACTTGTTTTATAATTTTGGTTGATTTACTTGAAATTTTTAAGTCTCGTGCTATTATGCTCAGGAGCAATCATCTCATCAATTATGACTCTTCTCTATCTTGAATGAGAAAGTGGCTTATTAGCATATTTATGAAGCAAAAACGTAAGGTAAAATGTAAGGTAAGAAAGAAACAAGCATAACATGATAGCGATAAATGATAAAATCTCAAGAAATTATAAATTAATAAGGATTTGTAATGAATCAAGTACCCTCTCAAAGAGTAATAGGGTGTTATCAATATATTTTGGGCAGGTCCCTAATAGAAGTCGTAAGAGTAGGATATATGATTCATGGCTTAGAGCGGATAGGAAATATGGGAGTACTAATGTGGGTTTCGACGAGTTTTTCAAACCACACAAACGAAAAAGATTTCTGAATTACTTAAAAAGATTATCATCATGCTTAGAAAAAACTAAAAAATAATATAAATTAAATCCCAATTATTGAGAACAAGTAAGCAGCCGGAGGAAATTTTAACCCTAAGTAATAGAAACTTTCCAACAGATTTTATTATAATTGATTTAAGAGATAGACTTCACAAATGTTAAATATGTCTTTCAATTCTGTGTAGTTTTCTTTTTTTGGAAATATTTGTTCTCGGTGTATTAAGGCGAGTTGACCAAATAAAATCATGACAAGATCGATAAATTTACAATGTTAAGGTGTTTCAATCTTTATAATCGATGTATCGTGTACGTAAGAATCTTTATACTGAAGGATTGTTAATACTAATGCAACCTTGTGGCCTATGTTCGCGAACCACACCCGTTTTGGATGATATTTTGGCCACTACTGGGTCAGTAGAGCCCACGAAATTAATGTGAATATGACCACCACCCCCCATTTTATTTTTATTTTCTGTATACGGTTCTCCTAATATATTCTATATATCTATCCTAATATGTATATGACCTCACTCATATATGGTTCTCCTAGTCTCTCGTTTCATTGACAGGTCCAGACCAAAAAATGCCTAGGTTCAACGGCTTATATATGTGTGATAGGATAAACTCCATCTGCCACATGTCTTTTGGTTTATGGTTCTACTTGTCATGTTATCCTCCATCTACAATATCATCTACTTTATTTTTGTATATATTTAGCATATGTTTATTTGGAAAATTTTCCTGCCAATATTTTTTCCTTATTATCATTTTTTTTATTTTTTTATTTTTTTATTTTTTTATTTTTTATGAATAGACAAGTAAGAGCCAAACGTGGGAGAGGAAAATCCAGTAGTCAAAGCAAAGCAGCAAGAAGTTCTGTTGCAAAAAAATTCCTTAAAAAAGATATGAATCCTAATTATGTGCTGTGTAATGTAACCCATCGAGCACCCACTAAGATAAGAAGTTCTAGAGAAATGCCAAAAAGACTAACAAGTGATGTGGGTCAGGACTCATAATAATGCAATAAACTTTTTGCCTTTAGCCTTTTTTTCTTTTCTTTTCTTTTTTTTTTTTCTTTTTTTTGCCTATAGTTTCCAAATGCTTCAAGCCACGGAGTAAAACTTCAGTCTTTACTTTACTTAGTCATTTCTAGAATCTTTATTAACTTTTCTGTCTTCATTTTTGCGAAAACCCAAATATAGCTTGCCAATGAGGCGGACCCATTTGTTCAGAAAACTTGTATCCCCATTAATCAGACAAATTTAAACCCCTTGATCAGAAGATTTTCTTTGTGGGTCCTCTACCAAGAGCAAGAATAATAAAAAGGTTTCTATGTTCTTATTCTTAAGTTACTTTTTTTTAAATAATTATTTCATGTTATATGAAATAATTATCTTACGCAACAAAGACAAAGTAATGAGGTCCACTATTTTTTCTTTTTTTGAAAAAGTAATAGATCCTACTATCTTGTCTCTATTATAATTATCTCATGCAACATGAGATAAATATATCTTTTTTCTCTCTCTCTATTAATTACTAAATAACAACTATTTTTTGTTAGATACTCACTAAATAATAACTTATGTCTACTTACATTTATCATGGGTCATTCATTCCTAACATTCATACTTAATTCTGTTATGGTTGGTTCAAATACATTGGAAGATTTTGGTTGAATAAATGTTTAATTAGGAGGAGAAAGAAAAGCCAACAGGAAAGTGCTACATTAAATGGAGAGAAAAGAAAAGGCAATCCCTTTTTTCAACATCTTCCTTTTTTTCATCTCACTTAAACGACTAGGACAGTACAATTAACCTTAAAATAAGCAAGCAATGAAGGAACAAAGCCACTGGGGAACATGTCTTTGTTCCAATTTTACTGTCACTGGTCCTTGTCAATCTTGTAGATATTCCCTTGATATATTGATATATTTTACACCCATACAAATTGTGAATTTGTCAATCTCTTTGGAACAATGGTTGGCCTCTAGTTATTGGTGGTTGCTGTTTCTCACAGGAAGTTTCAGAAACCTGATAAGATGATAAAGTTAAATGTGTGGAAATACCTCAGAATCAGCATACAAATGAAGTTTCCTAACATGGGTTTTGCTTAGCCGTTGTTCCTGTCTTCCTCTTTTCTATATCTTGTCCTAGTTAGATTCTGAGTCACTCTGGTTGCCCTTTTGAAGGCTCTAATGGTTTGAGCAATCGGTTATGGAGGTTTTTGGGAAATGGGTGGAGGGTGGTTCTGGAAATTGGTTGCATATTTGAATGAATGCAAAGTTAGGACATTTCTATCACCTAAAGCTTCATGATAGTTAGGTTAGGACTCATAGTTGCTGCTTCAATCGCAGCCTATGCAGTTAAGCAGCTTAATGTTAAAACCTCAAAATCAGGTACTCATGCTTATTCACTAGCCTTTTTTTGACATTCTTTTTAATTCATTTTATTTGTCAAGATACAAAAAAATGATTCTACATGATCCATATTGATGTGCTAATCCTATCAAGTTAAACTTCATCCTAATTTTGGCTCAGAACATGGTGAAGCAAGGCTTAAAGAGCATCAAAATGAGGGCACAGAAGAAGAGCAGATCACAAGATTTATTGACGTTCTCAAAAATAAGGATGTGAGTTCATCATGCTGAATTTTATTAAATTTTAATATTTTTCATGGCTTTGAGGGTTTCTTTGTCAAATTTGTATGTGCATCTTTCTGTCATCTTCATATCAATTAGGAAAATGAAAGTTGTTTGATGTGTTGCAGAGGGAGGAGGAAGAGGAGAAAGAAGAGGTTAAGTTAATTAGCAGCATAATTAATCGAGCTAATGATTTTGAAGATGATATTCTACCAGAATTTGAAGATCTTCTATCTGGAGAGATTGAGTTTCCATTACCTACTGATACTCCTGAGAAAGACAAAGTTTATGAAATTGAGATGGCAAACAATGCCAGTGAACTAGAAAGATTGCGCCAGCTAGTGAAGGAACTGGAAGAGAGGGAAGTGAAACTTGAAGGAGAATTGCTTGAGTACTATGGTTTGAAGGAGCAGGAATCAGATATTGTAGAGTTACAAAGGCAACTGAAAATTAAGACAGTAGAAATAGATATGCTTAATATTACCATTAATTCCTTGCAGACTGAGAGGAAGAAGCTTCAAGAAGAGCTCACACATGGAGCTTCAGCCAAGAGAGAACTTGAGGTGGCAAGAAACAAGATCAAGGAACTCCAAAGGCAGATACAGCTTGAGGCTAACCAAACGAAAGGCCAGTTGCTGTTGCTTAAACAACAAGTTTCTAGTATACAAGAAAAAGAAGAAGAGGCTGCTAGAAAAGATGCTGAAATTGAAAAGAAATTGAAAGCTGCCAATGACTTAGAGGTTGAAGTAGTAGAGCTCAAGAGAAAAAACAAAGAACTTCAACATGAGAAGCGGGAGTTGACTATTAAACTCAATGCTGCTGAATCTAGAGTAGTAGAGCTCTCCAATATGACAGAGGTCAGAATCCTTGAGTTGAACAGATGCTTGAAACCAATTTTTAAGAATTTCTCATTAGTGAAACAGCTCAGACTTTGAAGTTTTGAATTACTTAGAAATATAAAATTTTAAACCAAAGGTTTGGCATCATTTTTCAGTCGTCCTTGTTTACCTGAAAAACTTCAGAGATTATCAAATATAAACTGACAAATTAAACATCAACCTACACGTGTTTATCTAGTAATAATTTTATTGGTTCTGAAGTGTCTATACTTTTTCTAGTTATTGCTTGTATCTTCTTTCTGCAATGCTTTGGACTATGTTGAATTCTTGATCAATGTTATGTTTGTTGTTTAATGAGCATATAACAGTTTATAAACATTGTTTAATGTTATGTTGACAGAATATTATGAAGGTTGTTAACTTGTTTCATTGTAGTGATGAATTAATATGATTAGATGTGAATTTGCACATACGATGAGTGTAATTCATTTTCAAGAGGCTTTATCTTGAACTGCAGAGTGAAATGGTTTCCAAGGCAAAAGAGGAGGTCAGTAACCTGAAGCATACAAATGAAGACCTGCTAAAGCAAGTGGAAGGACTTCAGATGAATAGGTTCAGTGAAGTTGAAGAGCTTGTATACCTTCGTTGGGTCAATGCATGTTTGAGGTATGAACTCAGGAATTACCAGGCACCCCAAGGAAAAGTATCAGCTCGTGATCTCAGCAAGAGTCTTAGCCCAAAATCACAAGAGAAGGCTAAGCAGCTGATGTTAGAATATGCTGGATCTGAACGTGGGCAAGGGGACACAGATCTTGATAGCAACTTCTCCCATCCTTCTTCACCAGGAAGTGAAGATTTTGATAATGCTTCTATTGATAGCTCTACTAGTAAATATAGTAGTATAAGCAAAAAAACTAGCTTAATCCATAAGTTGAAGAAATGGGGTAAAAGCAAAGATGATTCTAGTGCTCTTTCATCACCAGCTAGATCATTTTCAGGAGGTTCTCCAAGAAGGATGAGTATGAGTGTTAAACCTCGGGGTCCACTTGAAACCTTAATGATAAGGAATGCTAGTGATAGTGTAGCCATCACTACCTTTGGGCAGATGGATCAGGAACCTACTGATTCTCCTGAAACTCCAATTACTACTGACATAAGAAAAGCTCCATCCAGTGACTCCTTAAATTCTGTTGCTGCTTCATTCCATTTGATGTCTAAGTCAGTTGATGGGGCTCTTGATGAAAAATATCCTGCATATAAAGATCGCCATAAATTGGCCTTGGCAAGGGAGAAACATATCAAAGAAAAGGCTGAGAAAGCAAGAGTGCTGAAGTTTGGTGACAATTCAAATTTGAATATGACCAAGGCTGAAAGAGAGAGACCTATATCTTTGCCACCAAAACTTACTCAAATAAAAGAGAAGACAATTGTTTCTGGTAGCACAAATGATCAAACTGATGATGGAAAGAATGATGATAATCAAACCATTAGCAAGATGAAGCTTGCCCAAATTGAGAAAAGGCCTACTAGGGTGCCTAGGCCACCTCCTAAACCATCTGGTGCTGCTGCTGTTAGCACAATTTCAAATCCTTCCAATGGAGTACCATCTTCTCCTCCCATTCCTCCTCCTCCTCCAGGTGCTCCACCACGACCGCCGGGTGGACCACCTCCCCCACCTCCTCCCCCAGGAAGCCTATCAAGAGGGGCAATGGATGGTGACAAAGTTCATAGAGCTCCACAGCTAGTTGAATTTTATCAATCATTGATGAAAAGGGAGGCAAAGAAGGATACTTCATCATTATTAGTTTCTTCAACAAGTAATGCATCTGATGCCAGGAGCAACATGATTGGGGAAATTGAGAATAGATCAACATTCCTCTTAGCTGTATGTTAAAGTTTCCATCTATTTTGTTATTTTCTTATTTTGGCACTTAAGTCATAAGACATGTTTTGAAAAATATTTCTCTTTTGTGAAACATATAGGTGAAAGCTGATGTAGAAACACAAGGTGATTTTGTCATGTCCTTGGCAACTGAAGTTCGAGCAGCCTCCTTCTCAGATATTGATGATCTTGTCGCCTTCGTGAACTGGCTAGATGAGGAACTTTCCTTCCTGGTATGCCTTTAGGTGTCATTGCTCATTCATCAGAGAAAATCATGCATCTAAAACTATTTCATGCAAAGTGTATATTTTGTCAGAAATCATGGAAGTCAGTAATTATTTTCCTTTCCTTAAAATTGCATTCCAATTTTTTTATGACATTATCCTCCACTTTGAATCACATTTTTCCACATTTTTATCAAGATAGGAAGAAAAAAAAATAGATCTCATTTTCCACATTTTGTAACTTATATTCCAATGCCCATTGCATACTTGTTTATCTCATTTTATTCCTAATGCAAGGTTGATGAACGAGCTGTCCTCAAGCACTTTGATTGGCCTGAAGGGAAAGCAGATGCACTAAGGGAGGCAGCTTTTGAATATCAGGATCTGATGAAATTGGAGAAGCAAGTCTCCACCTTCATTGATGATCCCAAACTATCATGTGAAGCTGCTCTGAAGAAAATGTATTCACTGCTTGAAAAGTATGCATCTTTTCCTCCTAAGATTTATTTACCATTGTTAGATATATATAAAACCATTAATGTAGCCTCACCCACCAGCTTAAGTTTTTGGGTTGAATTGGTTGTTTACATAGTATCAGAGTCTTGGTGTTACTGGTTCGATCCTCACCGCCCCCCGTTTAATTAATAATTAATTAAGTATTATGAAGTTTCTTATTACAGGTAGGTAACACGTATCAGAGGACGTGTTAGAGATATATAAAACCATTAATGTAGCTTCACCTACCAACTTAAACTTTTGGATTGAATTGGTTCTTTATACAATATTAGCTTAGGATGTCGACCATTAACGAGATAACTAGTTGATAGTCTAATAAAATAATCCTTACAAATAAAGCTATTTAAATCATTTTCTCATATCTACTTTAAGGTTGTAGATTCAGAACTTTCAAGTCACAAAAATGTTGTACATCACCTATACTCGTTTTGTTTAAATATTTTGCCTGTGTATATGTTTCTTATATAGCTACCTCATGACTTCTTTTTAAAAACTTATATCTTCATTCATGTTCTGTTTTTATTTCCAGAGTTGAGCAAAGCGTCTATGCACTCTTGAGGACAAGAGATATGGCTATTTCACGTTACAAGGAATTTGGAATCCCAGTAAATTGGCTCTCAGATTCAGGGGTTGTGGGCAAGGTATGCTTCTAAACTAACTGAACCAGTTTGTGTCGTAGTTCACTCAAGAGGTTGGTTGTAGTTTATTTTTTAATTTGTAGAGCATGCAATTTTAAATATCAGGGTAAAAACCCCCAGTATGCTATACCCATGTGAGAAAAAAAAATTGTGATAAATAATAAATGCCTAAAGTGTTCATCACATTAAGGGTATATCAAGGTGGATAGATTTTTAATTTACATTCACAAGTGCATGTAGATGATGTAGCTCACATGGTCACTTTGTTGTAACCCTATCATTGCAGATAAAGCTTTCTTCTGTACAACTGGCAAAGAAGTATATGAAACGGGTTGCATCTGAACTTGATATGTTATCTGGACCTGAAAAGGAACCAACTAGAGAGTTTTTGGTTCTGCAAGGCGTGCGTTTCGCTTTCCGTGTCCATCAGGTAATTTTAGATCACTTTTTTTAGTTGCTTGAGCTGATGATATATATCATTATTTAACATCCCTTTGACTAAGGTCATAAGCACCATGATTTTGCATAGGTAAACTCGGCTAGATGAAGTAGAAAACATTCTACTGCAATGTTTCCCACTCAAATTTTATGCTTGAAAAATCAAGCACATCTTTAAAGCCTGTCATTCATGGCAGAAAAAGTTATTTAATATGGCTGTTCCACAAAAGGTGTAATGTGAATTTTTTTTTAAATAAACAGAATAATATACTAATGGTAGTGTGGAACTCTTTTCAGTTTGCGGGAGGCTTTGATGCAGAGAGCATGAAGGCTTTTGAAGACCTAAGGAACCGCATCCATCCCCCTCAAGCTGGTGAAGACAATAAACCAGAAACATAGGATATCCTTCAGAAGATTTTTTTCCCCCCCTAATAATGGCTACTCATATATATATATATATATGTTTGCCCTTTCAGCTGTATATTTCATTTTGCTTCAATTTGAATAGCCTTTACATACTGGATGCTATACCCTTGTAAAAGAATCATATTGTAATTGTAACTTTGAACTCCAAGATGATCCCTGCCTACTTGCATGTTTTTCCCTTGAGCAAGAAATGAGATCCAACAGAACAATATTTAACACTTCCATAAAATGTTTGTCGTCTTAGTAGCAACTCAAGGAACTCTACATGAGATTATTTTGATCAGACAACTGGAGACCTATGATACCGATGTAAACTTCAAAGGAGATAATGAACAAGTGAAATATATTCCCTACACTAGCAAAAACAAGAACAGGGATTCTCCAAATATACGAGGTATAGTTTAACTAGTAGTAATGTACTATGCTTGTTCCTTCGCTTAATCACTGATGAAAGCAAGACATGCAAAAATTATGACTAAAAGGAATCGCCTATGCTGTAACATGAATAATCATCAGCAGGCATGGTACATCGCTCAGGGCTCTGGCATAAAAGATGAAAAGGAAAAAGAATAACAAGGTTATAGCAACGTAATAACAAGATTTCTGTCCTCGAATTTGGCTCCGCCAACCTTTCCTTGAATTTCTGGAGGCAAAGGAATGACACGTCTTTGGTCTCCAGCTTCTACCAACAGCTCAGATCCTCCCCGATACTGCATTTAATTAAAAAGAAAGAAAGAAAGAAAAAGCAATCAGCACCTTGTTTATTCCCAATAGTTCTCCAAACCAAACCAACATTGTATAGAACTTAAAGTCTAACATAATGACCAAATTTGCACCACGCAGGAGCCGGCTCAAAGAGTCGAAGCTCGTGGGGATACCGGAGGTAGCCAACTCGTCTCAAAGAGATAATTAGGGTTGGGTAACTCCAAAAAAAAAAAAAAGAGAAGTGCAGAATTTGTAATAGAAAGTGAAGCACAACATAACTCCATATAACAAGTGTCAAACACAAACATAGAATTTAAGCTATCCAGTTCAACCAGAAATAGCAAAAATAAAGAAAGAAAAAAAATGGACCAAACACATTTTTATATATGTGTAGGAGATAAAATTATCTCTTACAACATGAAAAACATTAATCCCTTAATTAAATGTGCACAGTTCAAAAAGTAATTCCATCATCTATTTTGCAAGTTTCATAATTTATCCACCTTGAAGTTGACCAAAACTTATATGAATAACGAGATACTCTTCCCATCATCTACATGGTCCAAGTTTGAAAAAAAAAAACACTGCGTGCATAGTGATGACTTGATACCTTATTATATTTGATTTAATTTTTATGCCCAGGAGTACAATATTCGCCTCATTTCTCTTAAATTCTTTAAAAAGGAGCACCATCAAGATCATGGTTGAAAAAAAATTATAAAATATATGAGCAGAACAATATTACATACTTGGTATAGCTTGATCTCTGATTTGTCAAAGCCTGGCATGAAGAGAGTAACCGATTTTCTTTTTATATCAAATTTAACTGATGATGGCACATTACTGCATTGACTTGATAGCGAAGTAAGAAGATGCCTAGCATCTTCATTGAGAGTGTCCAGTAGAACTCTGCTCCAATCTATTGGGCTGTTCATTGACAAACTTGAAATGAATGCAGAAGGCAAGGGTGTGAAATTTTTCTTTGCCCTTTCCAATGATTCTAGATTTTGTTGCCGAGAGGTTATCCCAAAAGCACCAGAAACCTGAGCACCAGCCTGAATTGTACACCCCCAATATCGTAACGCAGAATTCACAGAGGTTGGATCGTTTGGATCCATCGCAAGGAAGCAACCAAATCTCTGAGGGTTGCTGAAGGCAGAAGATCCTCTCTGGGCAACACATAATCAATATAGAACCTTAAATTTTTTTGCCAAGATGTGATTATGTTAAACAGTATTTACTCTTACCTCCAGCAATTGGTCCAAAGAGTCCCATATTTCTGAACTCATTCCCCCATTGAAATAAGATCTGCTGTTACTTATTCTCATGGCCTCATCCACAAGTCTCAGGAGTGAAGGAGCAGCCAATCTCCCAAGGTCAGTTTTCTCAGCCAAGTTGCGGAGATATTTCAAGTACAATCTACAAAATCACAATATTAAATCAAAGATAATGACAAGGGTGTGTATGTGTGCTCGAGAGAGTGGCAATTCCAAAACCTTGCTTTACTGTTTCCACCAATGATTCGCAGGGTTTCCTCACTGCTGATACCATCATATATTATCAGGTCAAATTTATCTTGTTGGCTCTTTGAAGCTGCAGTCCCCAAAAATCCTACAAGCCTCTCAAGTGCAAGTACCAAAAAGATTGAGTCCATCCCAGGCAGGATGCCAAGCTCTTCTCCAACAATCTATTATGACAGAGAAAAGAGGAGGACAGAGTCCCAGTATAAAAACGTAATCAAGGGAATATATGCCCATCATAAATATAGATAAAATATGATATAGAAAACATATTACGTACCCACCCCTCCAAGTGTGCCTTGTGTCATATTAAGCTGGGCATCTGCTTGCTTCAGAAGTTTTAGAGGTTCAAGAAGCATCTTCACTCATAGAGGAATACTCAAAAGTCATTATACACAGAAACCAAAAGTTAACAAGTTGACATATATAGAGGGAGGAAATGGAAAAAACGACACGCACTTTGGTTGTTTCCAACCTAACAGCTGAGAGGTTCTTGCTACATTCGACATGGGAAGTTCCAATCTTACGGTTTAGGAGAAAGTCAGCAGTAGTGTCTTGGCCATGTATCACTAAACATGTGTTCAATCCAGCCATTGCATAATGCTGAAAATAACATACATACATGGGGAAAAAAGAGAGATTAATTACTATTCTAGTCAAACTTGGATGAAAATGAATTTTATCAGTAAACATTTGTGGCAAAAGAAAGAATCTGAAGTTCTGTGGCTTCTGTAAGAAATGGGAAAATGTGAGGAAGAGGGGATGGAAAAGTTACTTAAAAATTAGGTTCCCTCATTTTCTGAATCCATAATCATCTTCATTAATGACCTTATCCTTAGGTCCAAATATAGCATAGAAGTGTTATTTTCAAAAGATAAAGAGTCAATCAGACAGGTCTGTCACTGCAAAGTCCTAATGTAGACAGACATTTACTACAGTTTTAGAATTTGAAAATCAAAATACCAGATTCATTAAAAAGCATAAATTGTACAGGAAGAACTCTACCATGTCCACATTTAATAATAAAGGCATCATCAGCATTGCAAATATTGTACCTTGATCCTTTTCCTTACGAAATACCAATCTATATTCTACCATGACTTCCCCTTACTCTCCAAATTTGTATTTTTCATCATCTAGCATGCTCAGTTGATCCAAATTTCAACGCTAACATATTATAACAATTCAGAAGTTCCCAATCCCAAGACTAATTCATCCTTTTTATTTTTCTTCCAATTTCTGGGCTCAGAAATTTGCATAAATGAAAGTACATAAGCACATTCATGCAGCATTCAATCAAATTGCAATTTTCAATCTCAAAGATGCCGACTTTTTTAGATAAATTAAACGCTAATTATGTGCTTGGTTGACAAGGTGTTAAAAATAGAAAACCGATTGAGATTGGAGCAACATATGAAAAATGTTATGATTTTCACTGTTATATGCTTGGTATAAAATCATTTTCTTCCCTCTTGTTTGGTAATAACCACTTTATTTTATCCTTGCATATAAACAAAAATCAATAATAATAATGATAATAATAATAATAATAATAAAGTAAATTCAGACAATAAAAAAAAAAAATTAAGCACTGTAAAAATAATAATTTTCATACTTAGAGTTTTCAACTGCTCAGCCAATCACCCCCTAAAATTATTATTGTTATTATTTAAATAAAACAATTTGGAAATGTCGAATAAATTTGTATTATTGTTTTTTAAGTTAACCAATGACGTGCAGAGAGAGAGAGAGAGAGAGAGGTGCATTTGTAATTGAAGATGAAAACGGTACCTGAGCGGCGAAGATAGCGGCGGCGGTTTTGCCAGAGCCACCTTTGCCGAGAAAAGTGAGCAATTTGGTTGTTGAAGAAGTGGCGGGAGCAGCCTGCGAAGAAGCCGCCACGGCGATAGGTGGTTGAGGTGTTGAACGAGAAATGGGGTTTCCAATAAGAAGCGGAAACGAGAAAGATAAAGCAGTGCCCATCGTTTACGATTTTCTCACTTCTCAAGGTATAACACACACCAGAGACACAGTATCTTCTCTAAGGAAAAAATAATTTTTTTTATACTTGCAAAATTAATTATCTATAAGAAAAAAACTTCTAGTATTATAAATAATTAAGAAATATAAAATACATATTAATACTTTTATATTTAAATGAATGAATTTTGTAAATTTAAAAGCATCATAATTCATATAAATTAAACTTTCTTTTATTGGAATGTACTCAATCGAAAATTTATACAAATTAATACATAATGATTAATAGTTTATCTTTTTCATTGATGTGTATGTATGTCTTAAATTCTTAATTCTTTATATCAAAAGAGAGATAATCCTTTAATTGTCTCTCAATCAATATTATTAAATTCGGAACAATTATCGATTCATTATTTGAATAAATTGAACTTCTATAGGAGCGTATAATAAACTTAATAATAAAAGCATTATAATCAATATATAGATTGACAAGTGATAATTGATTCTCCTTCACATCACATGTTCCAATTGCTCAATGTACTTCCAACTCGGATACCAATCTCCCAACTACGTATATAACCTTTAAATAAATGAATCAAGGGCTAATAATTCATAAAAACATTAAGCACATGATAAACTACTCAATGTAGAAAAAAAATAAAAATAAACTAGAAATCCAAGTAATTCATAACAAAATCTGATAGGATTCTATCTATTCTGTGCTCCCACATGGCCACATCTCTTCCCTTAACCCTATCAATGGTTGTTGCATAGAATCATTATTTATCAAAAGTAAGGTCTTAAAAGGTTAAAACATAACGCTCAATTACTGTCCCATAAAAATTCCTAATTATCTGGAAAATGCAAAATTAAGGATAGGTTTTAGTAATAAATCCTAAAAAAAATAAAAAAATAAAATAAGGGAAGAGTTATGTTTATAAATTTTTTGTTTACAAGAGGAGTACATTCTCAAGTGGGTGTACTCCGTAGAATACATAATATAATTTATAAACAAAAATGTTTATAAATATAATATATCCCCAAAAAAAATATAAATTTTTTAACTAAGTCCTAATTAACTAATTTTGTTGACAATTATGGACTCTTGTCATGTATTTATTACGCTGCTAAGGGAAGTTCATTGGGACTAATATTAATGAGCTAAGCTAAATCTATCACTATAAATAAACTTGAACTTATTTCTTAAAGTAAAATCTTAAGACATTGAGTTTAAAAATCTATTTATTTATATTATCTTTATTAATCAATTCTTAATCAATATATGACTTCACTTCTTAAAATGTAAATTTTCAATAATTTTATGCTTCTTTCTATATAAAAAATAAATAAACCAAAGGGTTTATTTTTATATAAAAAATAAATAATTTGATGGATTATTTATGAGCAAATAATAAGAATATAAACAAGCGAGGTTTTTTTTTTTGTTATATTTCAATCGGTTTATCGCTTCGCGACTAGTCCAATTTGGAGCGGGTCCCAGTATTAAGACTTTAAACCCCTCCTAAAGATGATATTGTGGAGGATCGAACAGTGTAGCATAAAAATTATAATAAAATCAAACGGTGAAGCCCAAAATTTTTGAGTATAAACAAAATAAAATAATATAAATAAATTTAATATCTCTCGTATTGTAGAAGATAAAATTATTTCCTACATACGTATAAAAATGTATGGTGCCCATCTTTTTCTCTCTTTTTTTCTTTATATGGGCTCACATACTTTTATGTGCATGTAGGAGATAATTTTATCCAGTACAATATGAAAAACAAATACATATAATATTACTCAAGTATGGGTCTATATAGCTAAGTTTTTATAGTAATATTTTTATTATGTTTATACTAAATTTCGCTACATTGTTACTTCACCCATTCAAATTAAATGTTCCACTTATGTATCTTTTTTACTTGTTTGATGTATTTTATGAAGTTTTCTTTAAAAATTAGAGTAGCTAGAATGTCTAATTCGAATTTGGACTAAGCAAGTTATTTGAGATCACGTCACACACAAAAAAAAATGTGAATTCTATAGGTTGTCTATGACCGAATCGGGAGGTAAAATAGTTGAAGTGAACGAATGTTCATTCGAACAGCCCTTGACTATAATACAAAGAAATACATACAACCTGGTTAATATGTACCCGATTGATTTCATATAACCAAATCAATAAACTGGATTTTAATGGTTGAATTTATAATATGACCAAAAAGGTAACCTTAGGGGATAAAGGTAATTTACTTTGACTGTCTAATTCCTTCTATTTAACGAGTTCATTTTCAGTATTCCAAGAATACATACTCTTTGTCCAACAATATATATATATATATATATATATATATATATATATATATATATATGGGGTTTGATTTTCTCATGTTAAATGAGAATTCAATTCTCATGTTGTAGAGATAAAAAACATGTGGAATCCATGTGTTAGAAAAAATTATATGTAGAACCCATGTCAGCACGGAAATCGAAGAGTGTGTAGAAAAATTTGAATTCTCATGTTAAATGAGAATTATAAAACCCTATATATATATATATATATATATATATATATATATATATATAAATAAGAGAAAACTTTTCTCATTTTATAGGAAAGAATAAGTTATCTCCTGCTCAAACAAAAATGTGGGGCCATCATTTAAAAAATAAATAAAAAATTGACACAAAACTTGATGCAAGTGCATGAAGTGTTTTTTATCTTCTGCTGGAGCCCATATGAAATCATGTGTAAAGAAGATAAAAAGAAAAAAAAATATTAGCCCCGCCCCATACACTTTTATATATCTATAAGAGATAAAATTACTTTTTACAACACGATAACCAATGTGTCCCTAAAACAAAAGTGGATATAATGATTTTCCCTCTCTCAAATTCACTTTTGATTTCATCTGTTACTTTGTCATTCACTTTCTATAACAGTTTGTCAAATAGTTCTTAACATTGCTTTGCTGATAGAAAATATGGATTGCACATTCCCCTCCCATTTAATTTAGCTGCAGTTCACTTAAAACCAGCATGGATCTTTCCTTGCACCCAATCATCTATTATTATTTTCAGAAATATGAGAGAGAGAGAGAGAGAGACCTTGGACATTTCCCTAAAGCATATAGAATTTTCAAGGGATTAATAATTAACATAATCATACATAATTCCAGGTTTGACAATTGACATCATGATCCTAATTTTTTTATCCTTTATTTCTAAGGAACTTTCATTGGGAAAAGGGTGTACCTCCCTCTCATTCATCTCCCTCCTCATTAAAAAAGGAACTCTATACTCTAATGTAGCTAGGTTTCACATGAAAGACCAATTCACACACATTTCAACTCCTTCCCCCACCATTTCTCATCTTAATTTATGCCTTGAGTTCACCAAGTCCAACTTGTAAAACTCCATCACTAAAATCCTCTCTCTATCCATCATTCTAAAAGAGTTTTTTTTTTTTTCCCCTCATCTCACTGCTCCATGCTTCTCCTTCTCACCTTTTGCCTTCTCCTCCTCTTACAACATGGCCTTCAAAATCCCTCAAGTACTTCTTATTCTTCTCTGGCTGTCCCTGATTTTGTTAATATTTCATGAGTGCTACAATCTCAAGTCCAAGATCAACAAGAATCAAGTCATAAGAACTAGTTTCTCATTACCCTCTCATCACCCTTTGATCAACAGAAAAGTTCTAGCTAGCAAATTTGACTTTTCTCCTTTCTTAAAGCATCATCATAATCATCATAAACACTCACCGGCGATGGCAGTGCAACCAGACCCGTCAGAGACAGAGATTGATCCACGTTATGGTGTTGAGAAGCGTCGTGTGCCAACAGGTCCAAACCCATTACACCATTGAAGGAATCTCAATTGAACCAAAGAGTGTTAAGAGATAAAAAAAGAATGGTTAGTTAAAGCTTTGATAACCTAGATGATGCTACTAAATCCTTTTTATTTTTATTTTTATTTTGTTAACTTTATTTTCCCTTTTTCCTTTTTTATGGTCTGCTTGATGATATTGAAACCAGAAATCAGAATTAATTGACTTTTTATTGTGTATAATAATATGATATTGCATTGCCAGCTTGAGATTGTACATGTATCAAGTTCATTAGTTTTTGAGTTAGGAATAAGGTGAACACAACTATACATTTTCAGGTTTTCAGTGCAATTTGATTTTTATGATTACCATGATTTACTTGTTTCGTCAATGTAATGATTCAAAGAATATGGTTTTTTGGTGAGTGATATTAAAGAAACATGAGTGGCTGAAACGGCACGGCACATGCAAATTGGAAAGATTTTTCGTTGGAGCATAATGATGATATATCTTAATGAGTTTTGTAAGTGTAAAACCATAATGTTTTCTTTGAAGAATTTTATCTAAAATTTACTATGCGATCATAGCCCAGGTTGTTCTCGTACATATATAGGACTATTTTTTTTTTTATGTATATATATACATTCATCCGTTATATATTAAATATTATTAATGAATTAAATTAAACCAACATGTGTTTTGCATTTGTTTTTTTTCTCTTTTTGTTCCTTACAAAATTATTCACCATTTTGAATCCAACCCTAATAATTTCTTCCTTCAAATCCCACTATGCACTGTGTTGATACTTTTTCTTAGGACATAAATATTTAGATAGGATTAGCTGGTATGCCACACGTTATACTATTATCCTTTTTTGCATCTGTCTGCACATAAAAACCCATCTTTATATGAGACCCTAAAATAAAATTCAATTATTAATGAGAACCCATTCTTTTTTTAATCCCTTTTGCCAATTCATAAAATCCATCATTATACATTTCTGCTAGTATGGAAATCAAGTATATGTGAAATACTAAAAGTTGTTCATTTTCATTTTTGTTTTTGAATTTTGAATTATTTATTTCCTTTAATATTTAAATTGGTTCGTTAGTGTTCGTTGCAAATTTTCTAAAAAAAAAGGGATGTATGCAAATCTTAATTTACAAATTGAATTCATTGATTTACATATGGATCATTTTTTTTCTTTTTGGTAAATATTGGGAATGTAAGTATGAGTAATAAAAAAACTCTCACTTTGGAAAGAAATGGGTTAAGCATGGTATACATAAGTGAAAGGATTTATAAACTCAAAGCTTTAAAGCTTTGGATTGAAATAATGTGTCGGACTCACTTGATATTATTAGTCTATCTTAACCCATTGATGATGGTCCCCTGCCATGAGGTATCAGAACCAATGATTGATTGACATGTGTGTGCCGAATATTTGGAAATGATGGCTATAAAAAAATTTATTTGGAATTAAAAGGACATGAATTAAAAAAACTAATTACAAGTAAAAAAACTTTTTTTTGGCTATTAAATGCCTAACTCAACCCAAAAGTTTAAGAAGATTATATTAATAATTGTATATTATATTTCTCTATCAATACCAATAAAATAGATTAAGTAGCTTATAAAGTACTAATAAAAACATTTAAGTGACAGGCTAAATTAACCATTATTTTAAAATTAAAAGGGATTTTTTTCTTCTCTGCTACTGATTTCTTTTATTTTTCTCAGAGGAAGGGGGAGAGTATACCGGTTGATGGTATGAAGATTTTGCCAACAACATCATTTTCACAACAATTTGGAGATTGTGTCGTATTTAGTTGCTGGGTTATGTCTTGCTACCCACTAGTGCAGCTCTCATTATGAGATTCATGAGAGGTGATATTTCAGTTTTAAAAGTGTAATTGAGATTAGATACATTCACGAAATCCCGAAAAATAGAGGAATTAACAAGACGAAGCTATTCTGATAGCTCTTGTTGACAATGAAATCATGATTACAACATGGAGAAAATCTTCAGAATGGATAATCTAATTAACTGACTAATATAATATTTTAATACATATATGCCGGTATAATTGGAATTAGATTGAGTAGGGCACGAAGAAGATTTCCTTTTCAGTTTCTTTTAAAGTGGTGCTTTCTGATGTTGATAATGCATTATTCATTGATATGATGAATGAGGGACAAGAAAAGTACTTATACTTGATAAACACACTACACCAAACTCGATAAATGCCCTCTCTAACAGTAACATGACCCCTCAAATCCATAATACGCATTTTTTTTTTTTTTACGGAAAAGAAAATTCATTACGAAACAAAATCTAACCGCACTTACAAAGCATAAAATATACATCGGATATAGATAGTGAAAGAAATAAATATAACTTACCCTCCAAATTTATCAGTGATTTATAGCATTATTCTTTAGTAGGGAGCAGAGACTGTTGATGACTAAACAGGTTAACACGGGAAAATATTGTAATGAGGATCATATTGTAAATAATTTAATGAGGATCATGTTACAACAATATTGTCAAATTATTTACAGATCAAAATTTACACTCTAAAGCTGACTGCATACCCGAATCACGAAAGCCAAATGTAAATTGAAATTTTAAAACATTGAAATCCAAACCCTGACCGAATATAGATTGAAAAACTCAAAAGCGTATTGGCATTAATCCCACGTGACATGGGGCTACACTCAAAGAGGACATATATTTAATATATCCTAATCCGAAGCCAACAATTAACACAATTAAAGTTTCCAAATTGAAAATTTTAAAATCTAGAGAATGGATTCACTTATCATCGAAAAAGTTTACCACTTTTACAATTAATTTAATTACCGTTGATTTCTATCAATCTAATGATTATAACTTATTTGATTTCTATCAATCTAACGATTATAACTTATTGAGAATTAATAATTAATTAATAAGTGTGAAAGTGATAAACTTTTTTGGTGGTAAGTATATCATGTCCTAAAATCTAAATCCAAACCAAATAGATGGGGAAAAACTCAAATTGCATTAATTGTGTGTGTCAACTCTTGTATAGAGTAAGAATAATAAGAATATAATCAAGTAATTTTTATCTTTTCAACTTTGAAAAATAATTTTGAATTATTGTAATATTTTTATAAATATGATAGGAACTTTCAATCTCATGATTTTTGAGATAAATTTTTTTAATAAATATTTATTGAATAATATAAGAGTAATTTGAATTTATACAAGTGTAATAAATGATCTCTTCAAGACTCCTCTTAAATATATTAAAGATTGAATTTGGGGGCGTTTGGTTCGCAGTAATCTTTGGGATTCCTGGCAAACTAAATTTTTCTAAATTTTTAATTTTTAGATATTATCATAAACTGAATATAAAAATTATATTTTTGAAAATCAAAATTCCTGGAAAAAAAAAAATTTATCCTCTACCAAACGCCTTGAAATAATTGTAACAGAGAAGTGGTAATTTGTTGGGCACACAATATCGGGTCATGCATATGGGCCTATCAGAACGACTTCAGGGCCCCAGTCCGTTAGCCCGACCCGGAAGATTCATCGAAACCTCTTCAGCTTCAAAAGAATAAAAAAAAGAAAAAGAAGCCTATAGGTTACGGTTTTCATTTTGATTGAAAATTTGTGAATCATTGAAGACTATCAGAAGCTGTGGGGAAAACCTTTTCAATTTTTCAAGAGATAGATAACAATGGTGCGAATTTTTTTATTTTTTATTTTTATTTTTGATTGCGTGATCATGATTAGGGTTTTTCGTTTCAATTGCTTGCTTCTTAATTGGCCGACTCAATTCTCTGTTTTCTGTTTTGATTAGGGGTTGTTTTTTATTCTTCTTGTTTCGAATTGTTTGATGATGTTATGTACTCGCGGAGATCGTAGGAATCGTGTGTTGTTCTTGTTTTTGATTGGAACAAAGGGGTTTTCGTTTTGTTGGGTTGAGATCCTTTTATCAGCAACTAATTCAAACCCTTTATTGAAAATCCTTCGTGTTCATGAAATATTGTAAAAGGGGAAAAGGCTGAGTATATTCATAATGGTAAGATATGTATGAAGGTTTGATAGAACTGTTTTGTGTCTGATATGTATTAAGCTATGTATTAAGGTTTGATAGTACTGTTTTCCTTTCGAGAAAAGCTGTGAAATTCAGCACTTAATGTTGGTAGGTAATTGGTTAGTTGTGGCTTCCTATGCTAAAGGTTTTCTTTCTTTTCCTTCTGTTCCTTGGCTTAAGAGGGGGTTTTGGTGCTGGTGATGTATTTGGTATCTGTTAGTTGATTTCCCAATAGACTGCTGAGCTTGCTCTGTTTTTGATTTTTACAGTCTTCGCTTGCTGCTGCCAGAGCTGACAACTTTTACTATCCCCCGGAATGGGACCCAAGTCAGGTATTTTTGCTGTACTGGCATTAAGTTCTGTTGTAGCCGGAAATTGTTTAATATCAGGAAACTCATACTTTGTCCCCCTCCCCGTTTTCAGGGTTCACTGAACAAGTTTCATGGCCAACATGCCTTGCGGGAGAGGGCAAGAAAGTTAGATCAGGGTATCCTGATTATAAGGTAATCAACTAACAGTAGCTACAGTAAGCCTTTGAGTCATGTTAACTATACCTGTTGTGAACGGGAGTTCCCCGATGTCATGTCCTATATTATCTCATTTGAAGTTCTACAGTCTGGAAAATGGAACCAATATGAATGATAGGCTTTTTTAGTAAGTGATGTCTATTTTGTATCTTGGACATGGATGAACTAGAGACTTTCAGGTATATAAGTATCGGAAAGAAAGTATCTTGTTAGATGTTATGATTTATGTGTATATTCTAATGATGACTTATTGATATGGATCCACGTTCTTTAAGACTTACATGCTGGAACCTGTTCTTGCAGATTTATAGTTTGCTTGTTTGTAAAAGTGTTTGCTTTCAGAATAGCTGATGTATATACAATAACAAACAACAACCAAAGTATTTTCCCACTAGTTGGGGTTTAGCTGTATGGATCAAATGATGCCATTTTGTTCAATCAAATTTAAAAACCATTTCTCCAAAGAGGCCATTTAGAACTAAATCCCTTTTAATGGTTTCACTCAGTTTTTCTTGATATTCCTCTAGCTATAATTATGGGGCTATTCCCCATCTGATCAAATCTGAATGAAGATTTGGCTTTTGACTGAATATAATGGCGTCATTTGATTCATGTAGACAACTCCACCTAGTTGGAAAAGGCTTTGGTTGTTGTTTTTATCTTTAGATCCAAGATACTAAACTTGGTTTGCCTAGGATACAATGTTCAAATTGTTTTTCTTTTAACCTTTAATTTCCTATTACCTGAATATACTGCTTTCAGGTTTGAGATGCCTTTTAATATATGGTGTGGAGGATGCAATTCGATGATTGCCAAGGGTGTCCGGTTCAATGCTGAGAAAAAACAAGTTGGAAATTATTACTCAACAAAGGTATGTTGATGTTGACTGCAAATGCATCTGAATGTAAATTACTTTTACAGTGACAGTGTTATTAGTTGTATTATTTTTCTTTTAATGGGTGGACTTGAAATAAGGCTTAGAAGCCCCTGCAAGTGCATACAAACACTTAATTTGTTCTTTGCCACTAGTATGTGGGTGTATAATGCCTTATAACTTGTTTTTTGCAAGTTTTATACATTACTTTGTCTTGGTACTTCCTTAAATAATTTTGTTCTATGTATCTTAATTTGTTGACTTTTTTCTAACAAATGTTTATTGGTTCCTTCAGATATGGAGCTTTACCATGAAGTCTGCATGCTGTAAACATGAGATTGTCATTCAGACTGATCCTAAGAACTGTGAATATGTCATTATTAGCGGGGCCCAGAAAAAAACTGAGGATTTTGATGTTGAGGATGCAGAAACTTTTGAATTACCTGCCGATGAAGGTATGAATTTCTTTATTAGTGAAGAAATTTTGGCAGTTTTTATTTTTTCTTCTGTAATAATTATCTCCAGGCTTGCTCCAACTGGTTTGTACTACGTATTGCACTTGTCAATTTTGTTGTATAAGCACAGAGAGCATGCTATCAGACCATAGGGTTCAATGGCTGTTTTTCATGGACTGAGTTTATTGTCCTTTTAAATCTAGTGCTTTACCTTTCTCTACCTTTTGCCTTTGATCAAGTGTAGCAACTGATCTGCATTGTTAATGTTTGCTAACTATCTTCAACTTTTTTTTTAGAGAGGGGGAAGCTTGCAGATCCATTTTACCGCCTTGAACACCAGGAAGAAGATTTGAAAAAAAAGAAGGAAGCTGAACCAGTGCTTGTGCGTCTCCAAAGGCTATCCGATACCAGGCATTTAGATGACTATGCTCTCAATAAGAATCTCCGGGCCCGGCTTAGAGTATGTTACTTAGCTAGTGATATTTTTTTTCCTAGTTTATTTGTCTTTTGCATTTCCATTTTTAACTCCGAGGATTTTTTTTGTTACATAATATTGTCATCTTGCTGTAAGGATCGTTAATGCTTTTCCATTTTCTCAGAGTCAAAAGAAAAGAGTTGCTGAAGAAGAGAATGCTTCCAGGAAAAGAGGCCTTGGCATACGACTACTTCCAGCTACAGAACAAGATGTTGCCACTGCAAAACAAGTCAAGTTTTCAAGTAAATTTGACCAGAATAGGAAGGACAAGCGGGCATTGATCAATGCATCCTCCATCTTCCCTGGATTGTCTAGTTCTTCCATTTCTGATAAGAGAAGACTAGAACTAGAGTCTAAAAGAAGAAAAGTTTCTGCAACTGCAGCATCCAACCTTCTAGCTGGTGGATTTAAGCCTTCGTCATGGTCACAGGGTGCTCTTTCTTCAAGCAGGCAAAAGGGAGCATCAATGAAGGTAAGACGTTAGGAAGCTGAAACATGTCTGTGAATTTGGTCAACAGTGGTTATTTTGACTTAGACCTTGCCAATTGGCATTGACGCTGTACATAGAAGTTGCTTGCAGTGATAGTTATTGTGTGTTCCGTTGTAAACTGTTTAAAAATTGTAAACACAGTATAACTAAGTCTAAATAAACTTTAAAATATATTAGGTGTTGAATTTTGTTATTTTTATTTTTTAGATTTGCCCAATGATCTGATAGACTGAAATGGTTTTTAAATGAGTCTTTTTAAGATCCAATCCAGTTTAAATCTACCCGTGCTAACTCAGATTTTGGTTGGTTTTATTTACTAAATTTGACACTGTTGAAGTGATAGATATACTTTAAACAAAAACTGTATAGTTATAGTTATTAATTAACGGCTAAATTTATAGTAAAATGCATGTGCATATATGATAAAGTATACAGTTGTTTGAATTTCTTTTATTAATTTTCAAATCAATGGTTATACTTTTATAATTCTTCTCTGTTCATCTCTATTTTAACGAGTGAAATCCTTATTTAATAATACTGATTCTCACTGTTGGTAAAAAGTTAAGAGAAGATTTTTAGTAAAAATAAATATATTTATTATAATTATTTGGCAGCTTCAAAGTTAGTTAAGACTTTGTTTGAGAGTTTGGAGGGGAAGGAAAGAAAAGAGATCCAAGGGGAAGGGAGGGGAAGGAATGGAAGGTAATTGAAGTTTATTTTCTTCTCTTGTTTGAGAGTTAAAAAAATGGTAAAGGAAAAATTGGAGGGTCAATAAGATATTTTTAAAATTTCACCCTTTTTTAAAAATTAATATAATTATTACATTTTACAAACAAAATTGTTTAAAATTTCTAAACAAAATTATTTATGTATTTTTCACACTACTAAAAAAGATCATATTTTCGACGAAAATTCTACGTTGCAAACGATAAAAATTCCGTCAAAAAAATAGTTTTTCATTGGAATACTTTTCATCGAAAGGCGACATAAGTTTTATCTGATGAAATTTTTTACAAAACTAAATTTGTCAAAATTTACAACGAAATTTAGTTTCCATCAAAAGTTTTGATGAAAATGGTTTGTTTAATATTTTTGACGACAAAAGTTCCATCAAAAGTTTTGACCAAAAAAAGAATTCCATCAAAAAATGCATGCATTCTTGGGGAGGGGGCTGAGTTGGTTCTTTGGCGCTGAGTTAGTGGGGTTGGACATGTGTTCGATTCCCGCTGAATGCATTCTTGGGGAGGGGGCTGAACCTTTAGCCATCACTGACCCTCGCACTCCGGATTAGTCCCATAGCCGGCTCAAAGAGTCGAAGCTTGTGGGGATACCGGAAGGAGCCAACTCGCCTCAAAGAGATAATTAGGGTTGGGTAACTGCAAAAAAAAAAAAAAAAGAATTCCATCAAAAAATTTGACGGAATGTTTTCCGTCAAAATCAAAAAAATTTGATGAAAATGTGTCACAACGAAAAATTTCGATGAAATTTTTTTTGTCAAAATTTTTGAGGGAAATATTTCTGTGAAACTTTTGACGAAATTTAGATCCGTAAAGAATTTTGACATAATATATTTTTTTGTCAAAAAAAATTTCAGGAATATTTTTCATCGAGAGTTTTTGGCAGAAAATGTGTTCCTTTGAAAATTATGATAGCAATGTTTTTTGTTGAAAATTTTGCTTGAAATATTTATGCCGAAAATTTTCGAAGAAAATGTGTTTCGTCGAAAATTTCAAGGGAATTTTTTCCGTCAAAATGTAGATTGAAAATATTTTCGTCGAAAACTTTTGACGGAATTTAGATTATTTAAAGAATTTTGACGAATTTTTTTTCCGTCAAATTTCTTTACAGAAATATTTTTCGTCGAAACTTTTTACGATAATTTTTAATGGATATAAGTTTCGTGAAATTTTTTGAAGGAAATATTCTTCGTTGAAAATTTCGACTAATATGTTTTGTCAAATATTTTAACGTAATTTAGACTCCGAAAAGAATTTTGACACAACAAATTTTCTGTCAAAATTTTTTACAAAAATATTTTTCGTCGAAAATTTTCGCTAGAAATGTGTTCCATTGAAAATTTTGATGGAAATATTTTTCGTAAGAAAATTTGACAGAAATATTTTTCGATAAAATTTTTACGTAATTGTTTTCTGTAAAAAAAATTTGATGAATTTTTTTTTTTTTTGAAAAGTTTGACGGGAATATTTCCGTTGAAATTTTCAACGGAATTTAGATTATATCAAGAATTTTGGCTGAATTTTTTTTCGAATAAAATTTATGTCAGTGATTATGGCTAATTCTTGTTTCATCTCTATTTTTGACGTAATGTGATTTTCGTCAAAAATTTTGTCACTATGTTCGACGAAATATTTTGCGTCGATAAATTCTGTCAGTATTTGAGACTTTTCTAATAATGTCACATTTAAAAATGATTCATATTTATGTAATTTTCACATTTTAATGTTGAGGTTAGATAAGTTATTTTTAATATTTTTCCCCTTAAACCCCCCAAATTGGAGAAACTTTAATTTTAAAAGTGGGAAGGGTTTTGGAGGATTTTGCAAAAATCCCCAATTCCCTTCCCCTATTTTTTTAGACTCACAAACAAGGGAAGGGATTAATAAAACTCTCCCCTTCCCTTCCTTTTTCTCCAAAAACCAACTTCCAAACAAATCCTAATGCGTTTCTGGCAATTAAATAACAACATATGAATAAGAATACATGGTATATAAGGATTATTAAGAACATATATTAATTCTTATTGATGCCAGAGTTATTACATAGAAGGAATACAACACACCACACACACACCACACATAAGAGTTTTTCTCTTCTCTCTTAGACACTTCTTAGATCTTTCAATAAGTTATTTTTCCCTTATTTTTTTCTTCTCATAACTCCCTTCCTATATATGCCTACTTAATTGCCTACCTTTATTTTGTAACTTCTTCTACCCTTCTTTAACCTCTAATATTAATTTCTTGCTTAATTGCCCTCCTAAATATTGTCTGCTTATTCTTGGGAATATTCACCTTCCAAATAGGTGGTTTTTCCTTCACTGAACCCATTGCGTTACCGACCATATTAATACTTTCCTCCGTGGAAATGACCTTCTCCCCAAGGTTGAGATCTGGAAATTGGTTACGGATCATATACACTTCCTCCATGAAGCCTGTTCTGGCGGAAGGTCTTTTCACTGAATGAGTACCCGGTCTAATGAATCCCCATGAAAATAGATTGTACAAAATCCAAATGCCTATTATGGATAAAAACGAAATCCATCAACCAATCGATCGTCAGGTAAGTGGTCTTGAAGTCTTGAATAGAATGCTCCTGAAAGGATCTCTTTAAGTTGCAAAACATGGAAAACCATATGTATATGAGCATTGGAGGGCAATTGAAGATGAAAAACAACTGCACCAATATGCCTAACAATTAAAAATAGTTCATAGAATCAAGCAGCCAACTTCGGGTGTAATCTAGAAGGCATAGAGCTTTGCTTATGATAGTGAATTTTTAAATAGACTCAACCTCCGACCTTAATGGAAGTGGGTAAGCAATGAAGATTGGCTTTGCGGGTCATATGTGCCTGAGTACTAGTGTTGCGACTTCGACAAGTGCACCGGTCGTAAAAGTAATAAAAGTGTACTGAGTACGATATCGTTCCTACGAGGATTGGTTTTCAAGCACTAATTCACTAACAACGATTTAGTTGGACAACAAAGATTGAGATGAAGAGAAATGAAATTAAAAACAATTAATAACATGCAAATTAAAATTCAAAATTAGAAAGCAATTGAAAAGATGATTGATTAAAGATTTAAAACAAGCGTAGCTAGGGTTTCAACTTCCCTCAATCTCCTCTATATGCTATGAATTAAACTGTCAAGAATCCGTTCTTAAAATATTGTCAATCAATTCTTCCTAAGTTAATTAGGGCTCAATTCCTTGTTACCCTAAATCTATGTGATTTCAGAAGAACCCTAGTTTCCCGGTTATTCCCAAAGAAAACATGCATTAAGATCAAGAATTCAAGATTGCACAATTACCCTATGTCTATCCCTAGATCACAAGGATTGTGATAAATTTACCAAGTCAGGGTTCATGCACCAACATTCTTATTGTCATACAATTCTCCTAAAACAGTCTAGAAGGAGAAAACTCATAGAAAGCATTAAAGACAGATAAATTTATTCAATTATAAAAAGAAAAGAATTCAGAGACAATTTAATTCAAAGCATAAGATTAATTTGGGTTCCATCTCTCCCTAACTACATAAAAGTCTAGCCTAGCATACTGAATTGAAAAGCAATAAGAAAGAAAATAGTTTCCCAAGCCTCTAATGGTGTGATGTTGACTTGGTTCCCCAGTGCTCCAACGCTCTGCAACAGGATTTCTCCTTCAGGTCTTTGTGTAATTCCCTGGTGTGTCTGTGAATTGGTTAATTCCATTGTCCCCAAGCTCCCTATTTACAATCTTTGAAGCCATATCTTTTAATTATTCATCAAATCTTTCCATGAATCTCTATCAATTCCCAATCAAATCTTAATTTATTTCTTTTTTTATTTAAGATCCTGCAGATTGGGTTTCAAATCTTTGTTATGATTCCTTTATCACTTCTTAGCACCAAATCTTGTAGATTTACCTTCAAAATGAGCAAGATACCAAAACATTAGCTCAATTATCAAATCTTTATGATTTTATTATATAACACCTTGAATTTCATGCAATTTACCATATAATTCTTGTATAATTTAGCCTAAAAACATGGTAAATCAAGGGTTTATCAAACATTCTCAGATTTGAATATTGTTGTCCTTAGCAATCAATCAGGATAAAACAAAAGAAATAGGGAGTAAGAATCCTCAATTGCATGGAATTTGACAGGAAGGACTTAATCAGAGACATGATTACAGAACATGCAGAATCTAAGGAATGATACATCAATCAACAAAATTCATAATTCTCAAGTTAAAAGCCGCAACAAAATTTCTTCAGATCAAGAATAAGAAAAATTTCCTGAAACACTCCCTCACTAGGAATTCAATTCACTCACACTCAACTGTTTAGAGGGTTGGTGTTTCACTCGTATCCCACTGAATCAACACTACCATAGGTAGGGGTGTGCTAAATAACCAAAAAATTGAACCGAACCATGAATCGAACTGAA